CCCCCCCGCTATCCCATCCTCTGGTCCCTAGGTTGCTGTACCTGAGAGAAGCTTGGGCTGGCTGAAACCCATTAATTCTGGTCCTCTACAAGGTATGTGTGTGTGTGGGGGGGAGCTGGTGGAAGAGAACCAGGGGTCCCCTTGGACTTATTCTGGAGCTGGAGTGAGGTTGCTGGGTATAGATGATGTGGGAGGAACAACGATTTAAAAAAATCACACGGCAGAGGGATGGAAGTGATTTGAAGCTACGTGGTGGTGAGGGTTGCACAACTGTATAACAACTAAAAGTCACTGAATTTTGTACTTACGATGGGTGAATGTCATAGTCTGTAAATGACACCTCACTGAAGCTGTGAATCTGACTCCTCATTCTCTGCATTCCACGGTGTCATACTTTCCTGGGGCACTGAATGCCACCAACTGAAAGTGGGGGGGCAGGCGTTGGTAGTCAAGGGGTATTAGAAAACCCCTAAAACAAATAAATAATCAAAAGCGCAGCTCAGCGAACAGATCAGAATATTATTCTGCTCCCTGGAGGGAACCAATATGAGTGCTGTGACCTGGGCCCTCCTCGTCCTTATTTTCTGCAGCATCTAGTGTTGTTAGATGTCCCTTTTCAAAACACTTCAGCCCCTTGCTTCTTCCAGCTTCTCTTCCTGCTTCTGCAGGGACTTTGACGAGAGTTCTGGACCCTCTGACTTTATTTTTCCCCTACTCTCCCTGTGGAGCGTTCGTCTGCATCCATAAATCTAAGCCCCCTTCCTCGGGAAGTTATTCCTGTGACTTGCATCTACAGCTCTAAGCTCTTTCCAAAGGGCTGCCCGGGATTTCTTGCATCAGAGAAGCCTGTAGACCAGGGCAGGGGTGCCCGAAGCCTGTGGATCGTTTCGACCACCCGGAGAGCTTAAGCCCTGCGGCTCCCCGCACCTTGGTGAATCTGACTCAGGTTTTGTAGCTCCGGGGTGTGGCCTAGAAATATGCATTTAAAAAAATTCCTCGTGGAGTGTTCATGAATCATCCGATTTGGGAACTGCTGGCCTCTCAGATGGAGCAAAACTGGAGTTCACGTCCTGGATCCACTGCCCCTTTGTAAGTCTGAATCTCAATCTGAGTTGTTTTAGTCTTTCCAAGCCTCGGTTTCCCGGCCTGTAAAACGGAGCTGACATTCCCTTGGAGGGCTCTGGGGAAGAGCAGGACAGACCATGACTGTGGAGGGCCAAGCACAGTCTGGGCACCCAGCTAGACCTGCCAAGATGTCGTGCAGACACCCCAAACAAACAAGCCCCCAACGGAACTCAGTCTCTCTCCCACGGCACATCCCTGTGCCCCAAAAGAAAACAAAGTGCATCCCAAGTGAACGCTGCTCCTCCTCTTTGACCTTGGTGGGGTCAGCGTCCCCTTGCGGTGTCCTGTGTCCCCTTTGATGTCTCCTTCCCCTCACTGTGCCCTTCTGAGCAGGCATCCAATGCTGGAAATTGTAATTGGCAATATAGCACACGTAGCTTTCTTTCTCTTCTTAAAGTCACTCATTTAAACTTTCTGTGCTTTCGTCTCTTCATCTATAAAATGGGACTAACCCTATCTCATAGGGTTGCTCTGGAGATTAAATGAACCAAAAGGTGCTATAGTAAGGGCTAAGGGTTGGGTCTTATTACTGTTGGGTATTACTATTGTTGTTATTATTACCATGGTCATCTTCCTTGATGACGCCCAGCCTTTCGCCTGGGCTGTTACAGTCATCTGCTTCTTGGTTTTCTCCCCCTGGTCTCTCCTTCCAAGGGTCTATCTTGGGCATGTGTAAACATCTGGCAAACATCTATACCAAGAGCCAGGCACGGTGTTTGGGAGGAAGACCCTGTGACTCCTAGGGAAGAGAAACATGAAAACAGAAGTGTGCAAATCTTGGAATGTCTTACAAGGGGTAAGGGTGTCAAAGGAAGGACTGATTCATTTTGCTGTTGAGAAGGGAGTCATGGAGGGTGTGACATAGGGTGACAGGTTTGAGTTGCATCTCCCAATAAGAAGTGATTTCTGGCCAAAAGAGGCTTTCAGGCTGAGGTATGGGCATGCGTAAAGGTCCTGTGGCCATGCTCTTTGGGACCAGAGAAAGAGGTGCTGGTTTTGAGACGGTGAGAAGAGCCAGGTGTTGGGCGCTTCATGGCCCATGCAAATAGTTGGACTTAACTGTAAATGATGAGGGGGCCCAAAGGCTTTACCAGCAGGAGTGAGCTCTTGCAGCATGAGGAAGATGCTCAGATGACGGTCCCGCTGTTTGTAGAGAGAAAAAGAAAGTTTGCCAGGATCCAGATGGTGGTGACAATAGAGACAGAGGGTGTGGTGGCTTTAGGAGGTTAGCTTACCTGGACTTGTGACCAGTCAGATATTGTGAATGAAGGAGGAAGCTGGCTCCCAGGATGGTGATATGGGGACCAGGTGCCCTCGGCCAGGAGAAGGACTCCAGGAGGAAGGTCACCTAAGTGGCAAGGAGTAAGGCATGCAATTAGGGGTTGTTAAGTGAGAATGCCATGCAATGCCGATGGTGATGTCCCACAGGTGGTCAGTGGGGACCTCGAGCCCAGGAGCCGGCTCATGGTGGGGCTGGAGACTCAGAGGTAACAGGAGGATAGACAGAAGAAGAAGAAGCCATCGGCGTGGAGCAGAGCACCTGTATCAGGGCAGAGCAGGAGGGGAGGGGAAGACCATGACTGGACCCTGGAGGACACTGACATTTATGGAGTGTAGAGGCAGAGGAGAAAAGGAAGGCTGCTGGGAAGGCTTGGCCTGAGAGGCAGGAGGGGAAGACACCGAGAGTAGAGACTTGGAGGCGAAGGGAACAGAGGGTTTAAAAATGTAAACTAGGCCGGGCTTAGTGGCTCGACCTGTCATCTCAGCACTTTGGGAGGCCGAGGCGAGTGGATTGCCTGAGCCCACGTGTTCGAGACCAGCCCAGGCAACTTGGCGAGACCCCGTCTCTACAATAAAAAATAAAAAATAGCCAGGTGTGGTAGTGCATGTCTGTAGTTCCAGCTACTCGGAAGGCTGAGGCGGAAGGATCGCTGGAGCCCAGAAGTTCAT